TCAATACAGGAGGGCAATCGAAAGGGAACTTTCAACGGGGTAAACAAGCTACCTGATGTCCGGCAGTCAGTGATTGATAAGTATGGTGACTAAGTATGACCAGGGCCGGGTTAAAGGGGGGGCAAAGGGGACTATTGCCCCGGGCCCCACTCTTCCAAGGGGGGCCCCTCGAAGGAAATTAAAAGCGTTAAATATTTTTGCGTACGTACCGGAGGGGAGGGGAGCCTCAAGAATCCACTTGCCCCGGGCCCCCCTACTTCATAATCCGGCCCTGAGTATGACGTTATAAATTATCAATTGCTCTATCCAAAAAGAACTTTCCCATGACTTTGCCAATGTTAATTCCGCCTCACTACTGGGGTGTTGTGAACTTGGCCTGTGGATCTTTTTCCCTCTTGTTTCGCCTGGATATCATAAAATGGGATACATAATATGTTTCACTAGGACTTCGGTTTCCTATGAAAAATTAAGAATGGTTCACAGTTTTTGGCCTATTGTGGTCATCTCATGGTTTAACAGTTCTATCGCATGGAAATGCTGTAGGCCTTTGAGCTGGATAGGAATTTTAACCAGTCGATGAGTAATACTAAGCAGCTACTGCCAGTGGCGGCTCGTCAGGGTAGGCACGTTAGGCCGGGCCTAACATGGACCAGACAAGAAAGTGATCACCGAGAGCTACCGTGAATTTAAGTAATTTTTACTTCTTCTTAACTTCTATATGACAAAGTTTCGGAATGCCTCGTACCAGAATAATATATTTTCGTCCTCGTGAGATTCAGTAAATTTGGCGAAGTACTGGAAACGAGCAAAGCCATAAGGGTGAAAGAATGCTGCCTGCAACAGGGCTGCTGGGCCCGGGCTTCCCACTGAGCTTCCCCCCTATCGCAGGTAAGTCGGAGCATGCGCAGTTCCAACCTAGGCCAGCCTCTCCCTGCCCTAACCTGCTCCTATTCACTGGGAGCTTGATGGAGGAACCAAAGAGGATAGGGCAGTCTCGCAGCGAAGTGAACGGAATGAGACTTAGGCCGGAGAGAAGAGGCCTGAGTGCTACGTTGCCAAATCTATGCAGCATTGCCAGATATTCTTCCACGCCCCACTCCTTCCACTCCGATGAAATCAGAATCCTGCAAAGTTTTTCAGTTTGGTTCACCTGTTTTATCAGCACCACGTCTTGCGTAGACCTTTCATTCCTTCAGATCTCTCTCTTCTAAAACCATTACTTTCTCCTGCCCCCCGGGCTTTCCCTTGGCAGTGATTTATGCAATGGAGTTCGTGTAGTTGATGTCACGTTTCCATAACCAATCATATCTGTGAGCACGATCCTGTGTTTATTTTTAAATATGGCATTATTATAGTTCTATCACACATTACATAACAAGTCTGAATGTGATAGGAAAATTCTTAATACTAGAATATATTAAGCAAGAACTCATTGGCTTGCATACCCATTCGGCACAACAACGTTGTGTCAACGTTGAAAAAAGGTTGATGCCAATGTTGCCTCAATGTTGAGAAAAGGTTGACTTTTCAACCTAACATGTTGCCACAATGTTGAAATGAAACACAGCTCAACGTAGAAAAGTTGATGCTGTGCGACGTTGTGTCAACGTTGAATTGTCAACGTCCGGGCATTATAGGACCTCCTCCCTATTCCAGAGTCTGAATGAGCTTTGATTATCGGGATGAAAATGAATATGGACTCGATAACTCCATGGATGGTCCCCAAGTGGTATGATACTAGCAGTACTCTACCGAGTACAATCATCCCACGTAAGGGACCCTCGGAGTTTTATTTCCTCTACTGAATCAGAATTCACATTGAGTACTCAATCCTCTCGGTCCAGTAGAGGAAAACAACCTCGCGGGCATGGTTTTCATACTCTATCCATCATGGATGAGTCTAGGTAAGGGTGCGTGCCATGTGGAGATTTACGAAAATTGAGCGTGTCTCCTCAAACCCACTAGCTAGAAGTACTTTGGGTCTCCTTCTGCTTGATAACCTCCTTAAACATGTCTATCTAGAAATTCCTATACCTTCCCCTATGCTGTAAATGGGGAAAGATCGGATGCTGGATGAAAAATGCAAAGTACTGTTTATTTCAAGGCACCAGGGTAAGAATCGCCGAATCGGCGGTTAGGTGCCATCTCGCGTCGATTCGTAGAACCTATTTTCTCTTGATATGATGTGGATAACTCCACGTAAAAACAACATTGAGAAAACGATTTTTAAAAAATTGCTCCTAATAGCCTCTGAACAACTTCCCTAATTCACGAGTAGTTACCAAATGCTGAAAATACGGTTAATTATGAATAGCTAGAATTTCATCGGTGTTGATTTTTCGTCGAATTCTCAATATCAACCAAGTCTCAACGTTTCAACCTATTCTCAATGTTGATACAACGTTGTTGTGCCGAATGGGTACGTTTTCTATCATAGTACCGATGATCAAGTGAAGTATAATGTGAAAGAAGTGAAGTCATATTTGTACCGTATTATAGGCTTCGCAAACGCAAAATGATAGAAACGGGAGACATCTTTGCCGACTTAGAACTTAGTTTTTCTTCAAGAAGTGATGAAAAGAGACGAGAAATTCTCGAGAACGGAAGGCCCACGTCAGATCTCCAAATGTTACAAAAAGACGGAGCGATAACTCGTGCTTTCCGTAAGGTCTGGTACGAAAGATTGAGAAATGGGACGTGCAGAGAGGGACGATTCAGAGACAGTTGGTCCGGAACCGAACCAATGGCAAGTTGATGGAATTAAAATTCTTCGCTTATGCCGATCGGGAAACTAACTTCTAAAAATAAATGAATGAGAGCATTACTGACACCTTTAATAAACTTTAAATTAACATTTAAAAGCAATTCAGAGCAATGATAGCTGCAGGAAAGAAGGGAATAAAGATCCCACTCCAGAAGTTCACGACTCGAAGAAAGAAAGGTTGCAGCAAGAAGTGATGGTGAAGGAGAAAAAAAAAAGGGGGAATTCGGTAACAGGCCTCAAAAACAGTTGAAGTGGCAGAGCGAAGATTGCCAGGACTGTTCTCCCGGCGACATGTAAATGAACGACTCTCTCAGCTCAGGTTCGACTTGTTCCGAGAAAACTAAATTCGCTTAGGGTGCCCTCTACACTTGGCAGTCAGAGCGCTCCACTTCGTTCAAGACGCACGCTAAGAAATCCTTTTCCGGGTTTCCGTCACACATATATTCTAGGCATCCTGGGCTTAATCCAATAGTGTAGCGAGAGTCTCATTTTTCGGAAGGCCAATGAAGTTCCTATGAGAGCCTAAAACCCTTATGGAAGCTAGGGGAAAAGGGGGGTGGGAGCCAGGACAGCCCCCCTTCCCTGGATACGTCACTGGCCTACCCTCATGAACCACGAGCCGCCACTAGCTACTGCACAAGATGCCGTTCACGGTTTCTACGATCCGTGCGGTTTCTACGCATACATCGACACCTTTCTTCTGTGTGGAGAAAGTATTGCTCTGTAGCCACCTGTTCCGCATGGGGCTGAACAAGGAATTCGTATCACAAAATATACACCGCGCATATGTCCCGTGGCATATGTCACTGTCAACTCTGTCTCTATGCAAGAATATGAGGTGCAATATTTGTTGTTCTCAGCGATGCCTGCTAAGTTCCTTGAAAATGATCAACATTGGGTAACACAAGAAAAAGTTTTCATTTCATAAATAATGGATGAATTAGTCAGGAACGTCTCATAGTAATTTAAATAAATGTTAACTAGTGCCCCATGTCTTAGCCAGACAGTGGTGGAGTAGTTTTATGGTAGTGAACGTCTCTACTTATTCAATAAAACTCCAAGAAAGTTTAGTCGGAACACACTATGGACGTTCATTAGCAGGGGTGACCAAATTTATTGGTCATTGGGACCGCACAACTTGCTGCCGTAAAAACGAAAACTCGTGTTGGCCAACGTCGGTGCCAAAATAGGTAGACAGGAAGGGGGATGCTGAGCGGAAACGCGGCGCGTCTAGTCTGCTGCCAACATGTGGGGAAGCATTCATTCCTCTTTGCGCGTCATTGCCTGCGACTTCGGTGGAGCCAAATCCCCTGAATTCCAACCCCCCCCTCCTAGTTGGCCTACTATCATATCTCTCGTCTCCCATATAAACACAATAACACAGCTACCATGAAGATCACCGGTGACACTCAACGCCAGGGCAAGAGTTCACCGTGTCAGCCAATGTGTTATGTTTTATTTCTTTTCTCGGAAGTGCCTCAAGGCCTCACAGCAACACTGTGAGCTGAACTTGGGGGACCCCTGCTCTATGGACTGACCTATGTGATCTCACTTCCACTTCAGTCAGAACTGGCTCAAATGAGAGGGCTCGAGCCTTCCTGCTGCATTGATCATTTCTCTGGCTCTCAGCAGCAATTAATTCCTATTGTTTTTATTACCATTAATAAAACTTAGAACAAACAGACGCATACCCAAAAAAGGTTATCCGACCTCTGCTTTTTTGACGCAGCAGATGAAGTGGATGAAGCGAAACTGTGCCGAGCAGAAGAGCAAAATTAAACTGAAGACAACCAGAAATATCTGAAAGTATCCTAGCAACATTCCTTGCCATAGAAAATGTATTGTCACTAAAATATCATTACCAATAGGGCACAATGCAGAAGGGGTGCAAAACTGCGGGGCGTAGTCCCGGCTCTGGATTGTAATACTGAGGCCTGTGATTGTAAGCTTTGAAAATAAAACCGGTAAGTTGGTAATAGCTATGCAGCATAAGACTTGAATGCGTCCAGACATACAGTAAACTAACAGCAAGTCCAGCTAGCTCAAGTCCATGGCGGTTACTTAAATGTCAGAAAAATACATTTCCTTCAATATGGACGAGGTAATATCAGAATCGCAATATTCATTATCTTTTTCCATTTGGCGTCTTCGAAAAGAGGAGCTGCCCTTATCGTCTCATCTACAAGTCCAATCTTTTCAACGCATTTACTGCATAAACCAGGATATGAAATAAAAATGTATTTCGAGAAAAAATCACTTTATTCTATCATCTGTGCTTTAGAAGTGGATATCTCTTCCAAAATATAACGAATGAAATACAGCAAGGCTCGATATATTAGAAGGGAAGAGAACACTGACACTGCAAATCTGAATATCTAGGCTAACAGAAATACAGGAGCTTCGGAGCCGAGGAGGAAAAGGGCGCTGATCATGAATCGAGTAGCACCAATACCAGCTTTATGATTCCAGCAGAGAAGAGCTTCTAGCAGACAAATTGTAACTGAAACCCACCTTTGGAAAAGATTATTTATCGGAATATATTTGATTGTCCGGATCAGTAAGCGAGAGTAAAGGGGGATCCCAATACAGTCTTAATTTTCTTTCAGGTCCTCACGTTATAGTGTCACTGAGATTGATGCATGGGAAGGTGTGGAAGAGACAGCGTTTGCTTTGCAATTGTTTTTTTTTCATTTGAAAACAATTTATCATTTGAATACGCGTCCTGCACCAGATACAAATACTGAACGGGTGGAGGGGGGGTGGAATAGAAGTCCGGGCTCGTATACAATCGAGCTTTCAAAATAGAGGAGAGACAAATACAACATAATTGGCACTACACATTTTGAGCAAGAAATCGGACCTTGCATGCTCCCCTACGGCTCCACTGACAAATTAGTTGCGTTCGTTGGCCTCCATCGCTAAATTGGACTATTATCTTTATTAGTGTCAGGCCCTGAGACTGCGGAGTAAAATGCACGCGAATGAGCTTCGCGAAGATGAGGTGAGGCTCTAGATATTCTGCAGTCACTAAGACCAGAGAATCTGAGTTCAAGTTTTGCTTCACAGCCTGCCTGATTGTGATCCCTGTATAGAATAAGCGACAATAAAAATATCACCTAGGCATCCTTGTACACTCAACTACTCTCCCGCTAAGTTCTTTCATCACGAATGTGTAGTGAATACAGCATCTCTGACAATTAACCATTCCCTTTCTTTTCCCTGCAACTCCCAAGAAAAGTGAGATAGAATTGAGGAATTCTAATGAATCCATACTTTCGGACTAAACAAGGAAAAAAAAATCTCACAAAAAGAGAAATATTGCATCATTTTCAGCTTGACCACGCGAAATTGCATCACATCACAGCCTTGAGTTAACTGCAAATAATTATTGTGGGATGTCACGACAATATATTTCATTCCAAGATGGAAATCCTGAAGGAACTTCAGGCGTATAAGAAGGTCCTACAATTGATCCAGAAATGGCATCCAATGAGTGCTAGTTAGTCAGAGATGCATTTAAAATCCAGACAGTTATGCTGGAATGTGATGAGTTCTTGAATTTTCATTGAAGCTCCTAGTGGTTATTGTTAGCAAATTCCTAAAGAAGTATTACTTATCAAAGCAGAATGCCCCAGTTTTTTTCGCTTTTCTTGAGAGATATTGAGGAGAGAGGATCAGTTAATTCTCAGACACCTGTAAAACGTAAAACACATACATTTTGGCTATCGAGGCTTTACTTCTCTGCTAAGGTGAGCGAATCGATGCACTCTTCTTGCACGGATCATCTAAAGTTCTCGTATACTCCGACCTTCGACGCAATTCTAACTGGAGAGTCTCAGGCTTATTTACCAAGTTCCGTGCTCGAAAGCAGACGCCACTCTCATCACTAGAGGCTAAGGCACCATTCATGGCTCCCTATTCGGATGAACAAACTTCTGGTGAATTCCTCTGAAAGATGCTTCTCGCATCAATGCAAGCAAACTTTCGTCATCAATAGCGGGCAAGAAATTATTGTGTTTGCATTAGTCCCTACTGCTAATCGCATTCACCATCAATTATTTTGTTTGGATTTCCTCTTCATGTCATGATCTTCTGAACGGAAATCACAAATGAATGGAGGGAATCAAACTTGGTCAATTCAGAATTCAGTCCTGGACTTCGGAATGTTTGCATGCGATTTCCTGATTGACGGACATCTCCAAATTCAGCGCAAAATACTGAGAAAATGTATGTGTTCAAGCGTCCAACTTGCAAGAAAATGGTGCAATGCACAGGAAAGGAGGAAATCTGTTTCCATATCAAGTGACGGTTAAGACGTAGTTCTTGATTCCCTCGGGAAAATAAATCTGCGTCGTTCTTCATTTAAGGAGCAGCTAATTAATGGTTAAATTAGGCCATTCACAACTACTCAAGGAACATCAGCCGTGATCAGTATGATCAATCCAGTCATCGGGATTGGCAGCTAAATTGAGAAGATAATGAAATTATCGCCATCTATGAGCTAATTTCGCGTAAGATTCGCTTCAGCTTGACACCAACCGTTGTCGTCAGCTTGCCTCTAAACCGCAAGGAAGTCCCAAAATTTCACGCCTACTGGCACTACAACTGATTGAATTCCAAGATTATATACCCTCTCTCCCTTTTGAACGTCAGTTAGGCCAAACAATCTCGCCTCTTTTGGCTCCACATTGTCTAAAGAATGCCCTCCGATTCTAATAATTAATGCATCAGTTTCATACTTGCAACAAAACCAACCACACAGACAACACATCTCAAGAAAGCATGCATTCCAAAAAACACCTCAGTTGAGCTGAGGCAAGGATGATCACAGTCCGGACAATTTGTCAGTTGGCACCACTTCCAACAGCAACTGGAAGAATACAGTTATCTTGTCTGCAAGAAAAAGGAAAGTCGGAGGTTCAAATGTGCACTGTTTCCATGATAAAATTTTTTAGATTTTTTATTTTGGGCGATGGGAGGTGGCTTCCTCCCCAAGTCATCCACGTCTGACTTACTCATGCCAAGGAGCACCCACTTCCGGTATACAAAAGGGTAGTAGAAAATCAGGCCACCGGCGATGAAACAACTTGCATACAAGTATTCCATTTGGGGGTTATCGATGATTGGTGCCACCACCAGGTACACTGAGATCACCATGACAATGATAGGAATGCTGATGTGGACCTGCACAGGGCACACCCAAAACATTCATGATAACGTCGAGTTCGAACCATCGGGAGTGTGGACTGAGTTGTTCGACATGAAACAGATGGAGACAGGTGAAATATCTGACCTTATATGGTCGCGGAACATCGCGCTTTGTGTAGCGCATCACAATGAGAGCCGCCATGGCGCCACCGTAGAAAATCCAGGCAGTGAAGCTGAAGAAGTCGATCAGGCTATTAATGTCACCGACGGTAATCATGGCCAGAGCGATGAGACCCTGGAAGGACACAGAAAGATAAAGAAGACCATCACTATGGATCGGGGGAGAAGGCAAGCATGCCCAACTCTCTTTGAATCGCTCACATTGAAGATGAGAGCGGGACTGGGTGTCATTCGACGGACGTGCACGTAAGACAGGATGTCGACAAGGTGTCCCTCTCGAGCTGCCGCATAGCACAATCTACAGGCATGTAAATCCGGTTCTGCAGTGGGAAGCGTCACAAGAAAAGAGGTTCCTCCATTCCAACGGTTTTCAAACTGTAGGCGCAAAGACTCAAGAGTTGAAGTTATTTAATCCTTTCCATTCCGTATAGTTTGACTTCTCACCAGCTCGTCGTCATTCAGAATTCCACCTCCTTCACCGCTTTATTCACTTTCACTATTGTAGTTATCATCACTGTCAAAATATCGCCCAACGTCATCACTACCACTCACATCAATTATCTCTTCAAATTCTTATTCAGAACACGCCTTTTAGGCAACACGCTTTGAACTGGAGGCAGCCATCTTTGCTGACAAGCCTAAAGTCATCGATTGTAAATAAAAAAAATAGATTCTGCACAGAAAGAAAACTAACTTCCTGAGTGAAAAGACCATCTATTGATGGCTAAATCAACTAAGAGTTCAGTTACCATAGTTTGACGCAAGAGCGTTGGCAACTAGTGAAGTCAAAGGGCAAGAAAATTGATGGCGATCTGAGTTCGACAGTAGAATGGAAAGGATTAAAGCAGCAAACAATGATGCGGGCATCTCTCCC